TTTACCTGGACCATTCAAGCCTATTCGTTTTCTCTGCCCCCCAAAAAGGACAGTCTCACGGCCTTTTCTTTTGTGGTCAAAAGCCACAATCCAAAAAGGGGAAAAGAACAAGAAGAAAAAAGAGTCCAAGTTGGGGCCACTTTTTCTGCTGACCACTGATGGTTGAAATTTTAAGATTTGGGTTTGGCTGACATTCTCTTTGCAGCCGTTCAAATTGTCTCACCTAAACCAACCATAAGGAAAATAAGTTCATGGCTTTGCATATTTTGCAATATAAAAAGCTCGTTAATTTGATTAATTTGAAAAGTCACTTCATTCTCACAATCTCACTAGTACGTTTAGATTAATTTTTTTAACGAACTTTTTAGCACTTTTAGCGATTACTGGAGGATGAATTGCAGAAAAAAAAATCTCATGATAGTCAATGATGGGCCTCATCATGCATATGCATTGTGTGCTTGCACTTCATTGCAAAATGCTGAATTTCTATCAGCGTTCTTTCAATTCAAAGAAGTAAAAAAATATATTTACTTAATTCTCAAATCTCTACAACTGTTAAATTTGCAGAACGAAACAGAATTTAGAAGCTAAGAACAGAAAAGAGAAAGTTGGAGAAGAAAACAATTCTTCATTTCTGTTATCTAACCACTATACATTAGTATATTCTCTTTTATACAAGTATAACCATTCTAACTATAGTTGGCTAAACTATGNCCCCCCCCAAGCTAGAGGAGGTGAAGATGTTCTTCATCCCTAGCTTGGATAATAAGTAGTTATGCTGCATTCTGCTCAAGCCTTTAGTGAAGATGTAAGCTTGTTCATCAGTAGTGTTAACATAGATGGTGTGAATCAATCCTGACTAAATCTTTTCACGCACAAAATGACAATCGATGTCTATGCGTTTAGTCTGTTCGTGAAAAACTAGATTGGCAGCAATCTGAATTGTTGACTTGCTGTCACTGTAAATAGGAATTGGAGCTTGTTGAACAACCCCTAACTCTTTAAACAAACCAACAAGCCAAACAATCTCAGCCACAGCCGAAGCAAGACTCTTGTACTCTACCTCAGTAGAACTTCTGTGAACTTTTGGGAAACTGTTGATTGTTTCTTGGATTCCCATGAAATGAGGGAATCACCAAACTTCACTAAATATCCTGTTATAGATCTTCTGCTATTGGGACATGCTGCCCAATCAACATCCCAGAAAGATGCTAGAGATCCAGAACATCCAGCTTTCATCAACATCCCTAGACCAGGACAATGTTTAACACACCTCACAACTCTGAGGGCAGCTTCCATGTGAGATGATTTGGGACTGTGCATGAACTGACTTAAGGTTTGAACTGCAAATGAGATGTCAGGTCTGGTAATTGTTAAGTACAGTAACCTACCAAGTAACCTTTTATATTACCCAAGATCCTCGAGTAGAGATCACTAGTTGTAGAACATATGTGTGTTTCAAACTCCAATGTGGTCAACTTGGCATTCAACTCCAAGGGTGAAGTAACAGGTTTACAACCTGATAGACCCAAATCAGCTATTAACTCCAAGTTGTATTTCCTCTAATGCATCAAGATACCCTCTTTACTTCTAGCAAATTCAATTCGTAGAAAATATTTTAGCTCTCCAAAATCTTTAATCTTGAAGCTATCTTGCAACTGTGATTTGGTCTCATGTATTAGCTGTAGATCTCTAGTGATAATGAGGTTATCTACATATACAAGGACCACTACCAACTGTCCTGAAGTTCTTTTGGTGAACAAGGAGTAATCTAGGTGACTGTTGGAATCCTGAGGTAATGAGTGTTGTAGTAAGTTTGATATTCCATTGTCGAGATGCATGTTTAAGCCCATAGAGAGACTTATGCAATTTGCATACCAATGATTTGTTGTTAGAGCCTACAAAGCCAAGTGGAATGCATATGAACACTTATTCAATCAAAATCACTTTGTAGAAAAGCATTGTAAACATCCATTTGGTAGATGATCCAATGCTTAGCAGTAGCTAAAGCAATTACACTTCTGATAGTTACCATTTTCACTATTGGTGAGAATGTTTCGTGGTAATCCAATCCTTCCTTCTGATTGTACCTTTTGGCCACAAATCGTGCCTTTAACATTTCAACCTCTCCAATTGCCTTGTGCTTAATATTACACACCCATTTGCATCCTATAGCCTTTTTTCCTGGAGGTAATAGTACTATCTCCCAAGTTTTGCTATCCTCCAATGCTTTTATTTTTGCCTCCATAGCCTCAATCCATCTTTTATCTTTTGCAGCCTCATAGTAACTATTGGGTTCTTGTTCAGATGAAATCCGAGATAAGTAGCTTTGATATTTGGGAAACAAGTGATCATAGCCTATGACAACACCTATTGGATATCTACAACTATTAGTTTGTATAGCTTTGTCAGATCTGACATAATCACTAAGCCAAATGGGAGGTCTAGAAATCCTGCTTGATTTTCTAACATCATCAACAAGTGGTGCAGGTAACTTAGGAGCTGTAGCTGATGCAGGAATTGGAAGGGACTCTGAATGTCCCTAGTCTGAATTAAATATTGGTGAATTCTCTGAAGAAGAGGCAATGGTTGAATCTGAGACTGATTCAGCAGCAGGAGCTGATACAGAAGGAATAGAATCCTCATGATCTACATTATTATGATCATAGAATGCTCTCATATCCAGATTATCTAGAAAAGAATGATCAGTCCCCAATTATGGGTTCTGAAAAGGGAACGTTTTTTCAAAAAAAGGTTACATCTCTGCTGACAAAAAACACATTATGCTCAAGATCAAGTAGCTTGTATCCTTTCTAAAGTGTTGCATATCCCAATAACACACACTTCATAGCTCGAGGGCCAAACTTATCAATTTTAGGCAGTAGGGAAACAAAATACAAGCATCATATGATCCTTAGATAAGATAGGGAAGGTTGTTTATGGTACAATAGCTCAAAGGGTGATTTATCGCCAAGAACAGTGGAGGTCACTCTATTGATAAGATATATAGTTGTCTTAATACAATATCCCTAAAATCTAGCTCATAGATGGCCTTGGAATCTGATAGCCCTTGCAATTTCTAAAATATGTCTGTGTCTTCTCTCTACTACCCCATTCTGTTGGGGTGTGTAAGGATATTAACTTTGATGTAAGATCCCATATAACTGAAGCAGTTCTCTGCAATGAGCATTGAAAAATTCACTTCCATTATCTAGCCTAAACATCTTGACAGACTTGCCAATTTGAGTTTTAATCATAGCAAGGAAGTTTTTAAGAACGAAAATTACATCAGATTGCAGTCTCAATAGAAAAGTCCAAGTCCATCTAGTGTAAGCATCCACTAATATAAGACAAAACTTTATTCCATTATAGATAGCAACCTTGTAGGGTCCCTAAACATCCATGTAAATTAGTTGAAAAGTTTCAACACTTATAGTAGTACTTAGTGGAAATGGAATTCTAGTTTGCCTTGCCAAGGGGTAAATTTCACACCCATGAGTATTATTAAAGTCTATACTATTTCTGAAACATTATAATTTCCTAAGAACTGGCAAAGGTACATGACCCATTCTCTTGTGCCATATATCTGGATCTCCTTATTTGATAATTGCAAAGACTTTACAAGTCTGCAAACTGTTGTGTGACTCCACTGAGCTCATGGTGTCCAACCCATATTCCTACCTACCAATCTCCTTCACCCTCCCAGACAAGAGGTCCTGAAATACACAAAATGTAGGAAAGAAGGAAATAAAACAATTCAGGTCATTTGTCACCTTGAAGACAGACAAAAGATTGAACTTGAAGGCATGAACACATAGAATATTCTTAATAGTGTCACCTCCTGACAATTGACAATCCGTTATGTGAGTAATTTTAGCAGAATCATTTGTAGGTAGCTGAACTTGACCTACAATTTCTGTTTGTGTTTCATGGTACAACAAATCTTTATTTCCTATCATATGATTTGTAGATTTTGTGTCCACAATCCAATTAGGAATGATAATATCATTGTAAAGAAAAGTACCTGCCATTACTGCCACAATGCCACTTGATTCACCAATTGAGCTTTTGTTCAATAGCTGTATGATCTGAGAATATTGTTCATTTGTGAACATGTGTGTTGGAACTCCTTTTTTTGATTCCTATGAGACATTGCCTTCTATATGCGCTGCATTAGCTCTTCTCTTAGGCTTAAAATCATATGGATAGACCACTATTTTATAGCAATTATCCTTCGAATGACCTGGCTTGTTATAGAATTCACACTTCATCAACCTGTAGCAGCCTGGCTTTGTATGCCCCTTCTGTGATAATACTCATATTCTAAGCCAAATTCTTCCTTGGCTTATTTCTTGACTGTGTAGTAAACATAGCAGTAGGCTCAACCTGTCCTGTATTTGTGTTGAAGTGGTTGCCTGAAGTTATTCTTCTGCTTTCATCTTAAACTATCATAGCATATACTTGGTCAATGGAAGGGACATTAGGCGTCATTAAAATCTGACTTCTATTTTTCTCAAAACTGTCGTTCAACCCCATTAAGAACTGCAATAACCTCGGAAATTCCAACTGTTCAACATAGTCCTTAATAGGAGGTGGTGGTAATATAGCACCATATTTAGCCCATATGTTAGTTAATTTTGTAAAATAGATAGAAATAGACGATATCCTTGTGTAAAAGTGAAAATTTCTTTGTGCAAGTAATAAAGCCTCGAAGCATTTACTTTGTCAAACCGTTCCCTAAGTTGTGCCCAAACAGTTTGAGCATTTTCTGAGAACAGAATACTAGTAAGGAGGTGTGAATTAACATTGCTTATTAGCCACAAAGTAACAATGGCATTATAACGATTCCACTGATGAGCTAATCCTAGTCCAAAATTGCTCTTCGAGGTAGTACCGTCTACGTACCAAACAAAGTTTATTCTTTCCTAGAATAGCTACTTTTATAGCTCGATTCCACACCGTATAATTCTCCATTCCAATTAATAATAAACCAATCGACAACGAAGCTGGTCCATCTGATGGATGCATGTAAAGTGGGTGATTATGGTCCAGAATGAAGTTTTCGCTATTCACAGTTCCAGTCGGTGCTACTGGTGCAGTGGTGCTATCGTCGGAATTGTCACTAATCACCGTGGAAAAATGCATAAATCCACTCACAATTACACAATTGAAGCAAAATTAGAGTTTCGATCACAAAATCGTCGTTCCCGATTTTGAAATAAATTGAAGAAATTGAGGAAACATTGAAGCTCATTCTCTCGATTAGCTTCGACTCTGCAAAGAAATTCCTAGAATCGCTTGGTATTCGGCTTTGATACTATGTTAAATTTGTGGAAGGAAGCAGAATTTAGAAGCTAAGAACAGAGAAAAGAAAGTTGGGGAAGAAAACAATTCTTCATTTCTGTTATTTGACCACTGTATAGTAGTATGTTCTCTTTTATAAGTATAACCACTCTAACTAACTTCTAACTATAGTTGGCTAAACTATGGTTAAGTTAAATTACACCATTAAGTACATCACTTGTACTACTACTACTACTCTCAACAACAACGTCTAGACCATAAAATATTTTAATAAATTTGATCCTCCGATCTAGTTATCTTCATTTTTTTTTCTTTTTTTTTGTGGAAAATAAATCTTTATTCATCATCCCAAACCAAAACATACATATTCCTCATCATTCTTCCTCTATTTCTACCTCTATCCTTTCTAACTTTCCTCTTTCTCAGCTATATTTTCTGTCTATTTGTATGTTTCTATACATTTCATTTCTATCTAACTATATAGTGACTCTATCCAGCCTATTCCTTTCTTGTTCTTGTTCTTCTTCTTCTTCTTCTTCTTCTTCTTCTTCTTCTTCTTCTTCTTCTTCTTCTTCTTCTTCTTCTTCTTCTTCTTCTTCTTCTGTACAGCTTCCATGCACCTATATTTGCATGTTTGTTGTATCTGCTCCAATACTGCTTGTGGTCTTGGCACTTTTTTCATCCAAACCGCTTCGTTCCTAGCTTTCCATATGTGGTAGATGACTACTGCCAACACTGTCATTGTGAATGATCTACCTATTTTCCCTTGTGCTATTCTTGTCATCCTTCTCCATATCCCTATCACCTTAGTGTTCTTGATGTTCATACCTGTAGACATCTAATTTTTGATCCTCCCCGAGAATTTTCACATTTTTAGCGTGAATATGTGAAATGGGGTCTAATATAGCCATTT